AAATATCTGAAAGACTGAAAGACTGATCTACAACCCAGAAATAAGGGTTGGAGTTTTTAGGAGAAAATTTAAAACACTGTTTTGTGCTGCAGCTGTGAGACTGATGCTTTCCTAATGTCAAGACCCTAATAATATTTTGTCACACTATATAAAATCCTTTTTATCTACTAAGTATAATTGGATTGCTAGCTTTGAAATTAGGATCATCATTATATTATTTGTAATACTGGCCACCTTAAATGTTAAATAAAACTCAGAACTTTTTGATAAGTTTTAAAAAATCTCCATTTTTTTTTAGAAGTCTATTTTTTTTAGGAGATGATCAAGAAATGAAAATTTATTTAAATATAATTTCTTTTTGGAATATATTCTGTTTTTGCTAGATTAGTAGTGTCAAGTTTATGGTGGTTGATAGTAGTAGTTGGTAAGGAAATATTGGTAACATCTTTGAAGGGTATTCATGTCATCAAGAATCTAGGGACAGATAGTTATGAATCAATTTTATTGGGTCAGAAGTTTTAGAGGCCTGATCATTCTATTTGAAAAAACTTACTTTTATAGAGAAGATAGAAGATGAATAATTTTCCAGGGTGGCAATATTCTTGAGAGCTTGTTTGGAGGTTCTTGCAGGGGAGCGCAGCTACTCGTATACCCTTGACCGAAGACCGGTCCTCCTCTATTCGGGGAAGGTCGTCCTCTTCGACCGAGCGCGCAGCTTCGGGAGGGACACACATGGAGCGGTGAGGGAGGAAGGGGACACCCGCCTAGCCAGCCAGATCAGCCGAATCAACCCTGGCGATCAATGGGGTGACAGATGTCGCAGCCAGATCGCCCTCACATCCAGGGTGGCAATATTCTTATAGTTATACATATGCACCTGATTTCCTAGACGTTTTTAGATACATTTATAAACCTATTTCACAGGCTAGATTAGCACTTAGCTCTAATGCTTTAGTATAAATCATAATACTTTTCAAGATGTTATTTAGCTATTAGTCACTGAACCAGAATCTAAATTATATTCTAATTGTAATGGGAAAAGTCTCTGGAAGACTTTATGCAGGATGTTGGCAAGATCTTGTCTATACTTTGTGATTATTGTGGCTGCTGTGAGGACGTTGGCCTGTAGTGGGACAAAGCAGAGGCGCAGGAAAACTCCTTTGAGAGATTTGGGCTCTATCTACCAGATGTGTCCTGCCGGGGGGATTAAGGCAGCAGCGGCTGCATGGTAAGAAGTGGGAATGGATTCGGGAGTTAGGGAGGTCTTTAAGCATTCTGTCGCAAACATTGCTAAATTCGCAATACCAACGTCAACAAGAAACTTGACCAGGTTACCCAGGAAGAATTTAGACAGTAAAAAGATCTGATAAAGTAGCCAGCAAAGATCCTAAAAAGGAGCATCTAATAAAGTAGAAGAAAACCCAGGCCTTCACTGCCCTATCCTCTACCCTGGTGTGTTTAGGGAGACATCTTTCTGTGAGACTTTTTTGTCGTCCTTCTTGAGTAATTTTGATGGATCCTTAGTAATTCTGATGGTTCCTTATTTTAAATTCCAGGCACTCATCTGTTTGTCTTTTATGTTATAACTTCTTCTTACTTTGTGGACATATCTTCTCTAAGGGCATTAGCTAAAATTACTTTTTCATTTTTCTGATTATCTCTGTTTCCTCTGGAACCCCCTTTTTTCTTTAATCACTCTTATTTTTGTTTCTGGAGATTTTCCTCAAATGTTTGTCAGTCCCTGCTCACTTGGCACACCCAGTGTAAATCTCTACCCATGTGTAATAAATAATGAAAGAGCTGGCTAGAAGGGTCTAAGCATGGCAAGGGTTGGTTGGTGCTGGATTTCAGGTTATGCTGGAGACCTGCAAACACCTGAAAGCCTTTCCTCCTAAGGGTGTTCATTTGCTGGTAGAGAAGTCTGGCTGGCCTAGGAAGCTTCTGTGTATTATAGCTAATTACACAAACTCACTTTACCTAGTTTTCTTTCTAGCTAGTGTATAAGCTATGTTCTCCCCAGTGCCTGGGATGGGAGTAGGGATTTCTGTTTTCTGAGCTATTTGAGGTTTCTTTAGGCTTAATTAATTTTTTTAATTGTGTGTGTGTGTGTGTGTGTGTGTGTGTGTGTGTGTGTGTGTGTGTGTGTATGTGTGCACCCATGCCCACGCATGCTCACACACGCATGCACTCAACAGTGTAAGGGTAGAGGTCAGAGGACAACCTGTGGAGGTGCTTGTAGAATCACAAGTTGGTTGTCCAGGTAAGAAATCGAGTTTAATGGTAGATTCTTTTTCATGGCTCAGGTGCAGTAAGTGCTAGGAAGCCCGACATTCCTAGCGCCTTGCTAGATTCTAGGTTACAAATTCTGACCTGAGACCTGCTGGAGCCTGCACACTGGCTGGGGTGAGATTTCAAGTGCTATTTACCTGAATCTCAAGTTATGAGGACATATGTGGAGGTGGCTAGCCTTCTTGGGGAGTCAAGCAGTCAGGAAGAAGTGATTAAGCTGAAATGCAGGTCGAAAGGCCCCCAAATAAACAAAACTTAGAATGTGATTATCTGGAAGGCAGGGGGAGGGGGTAAAGGAGTGGCTTTAGAATATTGGTGGGTCCACATACAGTCTTTCAAAGACCGGTGGTATGTGACAGGTCAGCATTTGAACACCAGAGTGTCTTTCAGGCAACTTGAATCAAATGACACATTACTCCAAAATTACAGACGTTTCCAAATTCTTAGTGATTTGCGAAGAACACTTAGAATCCCAAGGGAAAATGCTCTGTGAATTTCGATGGCAAAAACACACCATCATGGCTCCAAAAGTCTGAAGTGATATAGATGGAGCTATGTATTTAAAAAAAATGAATTTGCTAGTTCTATAATTGGCCGTTCAAAACTTGCACTTTTCATGGACTTGCTTATTATACACACAGCCCAGGTAAATAATAGTACAGAGTAGGTATGCCAATAAATCACACTTTGTGGCCAAAAACTATTTTTTTTTTGTAATTCAAAAAGAAGATACACCTAATATTGTGTGCTTACTGTACTATTAATATTCTAAATTAAGTTCATATGTTAGTTTAAGAAAAGAAAACCATGAAGTTACTTTACAGAAAATATTTACTTACGGCTATTGACAGTGGCAATCTGCCTGAGAAAAGCTTTCAGAACAGGCAGTGGATTTCCTCTTAAAAATCAAGAAGAAATAACACACCAGGAGAAAGTGCTGCCTTAAGTTCAGAAGTCATCAAAGAACATCCCATCTTCTTCCCTACGAATATCCATGCTCCGTGCCCACTCCAGCTCTCTTTCTCATACTCAGGGAACTGCATTTTTCCTCATCATGTAGGAACCACCTGCAGACTAGAGAGAAGGGGAAGCTAACACTATTGCCTGTTGGTGGCAGTGCAGGGTGTTTGTGGATGTGGGATGTTTTGTTCGTTTTAATAGGTTTACACAAATGATCACCTAGTGCCCACCTCTCTACAACTCATAAACTCTCAGCCAAGGTTTTCCTTCCAGAGTGTAGTATAGGGTTTTTTGTTTGTTTGTTTGTTTGTTTGTTTGTTTTGCTCTTTGGGGGCCCACACCCAGTTCCTTATCTCCTTATTCTTACTTAGGAATGACCAGCCTTAACTTGGCTTGTTTCTAGCTAGCTTTTCAAACTAAATTATCCTGTTTCTCTTTAACTATGTTTTGCCTCTGGGCTTTTTACCTTTCTTTATTCTATATATCTTTCTTTCCTTCTCACTCCATCCATGGCTGGCTGTGTAGCTGGGTGACTGGCCCCTGGTGTTCTCCTCCTTTTCTCGCCCCCTCCCTCTTCCTAGGTTTCTCATACTGTTTATTCTGTCAGCCTGCCAGCCTTGCCTATTTTTCCTACCTAGTTACTGGCCATTCAGGTCTTTATTAGTCCAATCAGGTGTTTTAGACAGGCAAAGTAACACAGCTTTACAGAGTTAAACAAATGCAACATAAAAGTATGCAACACATCTTTGCATTTTTAACAAATATTCCACAGCATAAATGAATGATACACATCTTAAACTAATAATTCCACATCACCATAGGTTGAAACAAAAATGCCAGCACAGGTGTCTTAGCCACTGTTCGATTTCTGTGAGGAGACACCATGAACACTGAAACTCTTGTAAGAGAAAACATTTAATTGGGGGCTTACTTCAGTTTCAGAGGCTTAGTCCATTATTATCAAGGCAAGGAACATAGTGGCAGGCATGGAAGGCATGGTGCTGGAGGAGCCCCTGACAGTTCTGTATCTGGACCCACAGGCAAAAGGCAGAAGAAAAGATACTGGTGGTCCTGGTTTGGCCTTTTGAAATCTCTAAGCCCACCCCCAGTGATATACTTTCTCTAACGAGGCCACACCCCCTCATCCTTCTCAAGTAATACCACTCTCTGATGACTAAGCATTCAAATATATGAGCCTATGGGTAGTCATTCTTATTCAAACCACCATAACAGGTAAATTAGGTATCATTCAATAGAGGACATGCTCATCAATTTATCTGCCAAATGAAGACCTCTTTTTACTTGTAGACCTCTTTTTACTGTTTAGATTGTACTATATTCTGTGTGGTTCACTTTTATTTTGGGATGCAGACAATGGTCATGACTTATACTCAGTAAGACCAGTAGGGAACATCATTTCCCTCTTGTAAGAATGAGCAAGATTTAAGAATAGCTGCCTCCAAGAGGCATCCTTTAGGCTCTGCCCAGCTCCTGCTGGGAGGTGGCCAGGTTCAGGACAACACTGGAGACTCATCTGTGTTGGATGATATGCTTTACAGGAGTCTGGACAAGGCTTTTAACCCTTCTAAGCCTCACTTTACAACTGAAAAACAAGCTTAATAATGCGGGGTCCTTAGGGGATGGATAACAAAGATTACATGAAAGACCTAATACAATTTGGTGAACTCTGGTTAGACATTTGCTAGATTTACGTAGGTAGGGTATGAGCAGAAAAGTAAGGTGGAGCCAATTTTTTTTTTTTAATTTCAGCTTAAGCAGCATATTATGTTAAATAAGATTTTTGAGTGACTAAGCAGTGACTAAGTGAAAGTTGTATTATAGAATTAATCTAACCTTGGTTTGGAGCATGGAGCTAGTGGGAGGTTCAGAGGGGCCTAGAACAGCCATATGCAGGAAACAAGGGCCAAGCTAGGGTAGAGGAGGTAGGTTTGGGAAAAAGTCAACCTAAGATCTATGAAAGAAGCCTATCCCTCCAAGTTGAGTGTGTATCAGACTAAAATAGTTGTCTCCCCTGGCAAAATGTACCGTTTATCTCATCTTGTTCACCCAACAGATTTGTGCTGTGTGTACTGTGGGCCATCAGCCATACAATGTCCTGGTAACTTAGTCAATGGCTCAGCTTTGCCAGGTCTTCCTTGCTGGAGAGACGGAATTTATAGGTCTTTGGTGCCTTGACCCACTTTCTCACCTTCAACTAGTTAGTAACTTATCTCTTCTGATTTAATACCCTAAATCAGTGACTCCTTCCACATACCAGCACACTAGCACTGTCTAGGAAAGATTCCAAAAGCCAGACTCCACACCTCACACCCGTGAAATCACAATGGTCTTTGAAGCTTCTCAGATGATTCCACTGTGCCGATAAGTTAGGGACCCACCAAGCATTTTTCAGATCTCACTTCTCCAACTATCACACCAGTCCTTTCTCACTTAGATTAGCACACCAGCTTCCTGTTTGGTCACTGTATGTCTAATCTTCTCCCCTACAGTGTTTATCTTCATGGCAGCCTGGTGACTTCTCAGAAACAAATCTAAGCATGTCACACTGCTCTGCTTCCAACTTTTTCAAGGCCCTCAACCTGTTTGCCCCTTCCTCTAACCACAGCATTCACCAGCATAACACAGATCCTTGGGTGAGTGCTGTGCAAAGATTTTTAACCTGTTTCTCTCCCTGAGGGAAGAGTGAAAATACTGCAAGAGTATTTGGCTTTTATAGCTTGAAAATGCATCCTTTCCCCCTTTGCTCCTGCCCATTCTGATACATAGTCTTTTACTAAGGGGCTCAACCTTGAAATTGAATTCAGCATTTTGATCTGACCCAGTTTCCCTAGTCTCATTCTTATCTATTCTTACTGTCTTACTTTGACTACACAGGGTTAACCATGCTGTTTCTATAGTTTGTTTTGCTTAGTTCTCTCTCCTCCTTCTGGAAGACCTCACTTGTTACCTTCTCCAGTGCTGTCTTTTAAACTATGTTGAAGTTTTGAAAGCATCCATTAAGTTCCAAGTCAGCAAGTCCCTCTAGGAAGCCTTCTCTGATTATGTTAGGGTCGTGGAGAAGTCCCACAAAAGACCACCATCCACGTGTGCCATCAGCAAGAGTGTTTATTATTCCAGCATGCTGGGACCTACCATCCCACACAAAGGCAAGTTGGCAAAGACCCAAGAGGGAAGTGAACGTTCCCTTTAAGCTTAACTAAGGGGAGTGTCCAAGGAAGTTAAGTCACTTTAGATATGATTGGCTCAAGCAAGTAGCAATCATCAGTACCATTAGCTAGGGCTAGTCAAGGGTTGATCAGGGCTAGAGTTATCCCATTTTGGGACAGGCCTGGACAAGTCCCAGGCTTTGTCCTTGAGTTGTTGTGGAGGCTGGCTGGCCTAGCATGTAGACTGGGGGCGGGGTTTGCTCAGTGGCCCAGGCTTGGTGTGTTCTATCTCCCTTGTCCCTGTTGTTGGGGGCGCCAGTGATCAATTGTCCTTTATTTGTGGCTTTTCCTCAGAAACTGCCTGCTTGGTTCCATAAAGCAGGGACCAAAGTCTAGTTCTTTGAGAGAAGAATGAGCAGCCTATTATGGTCCTCTCAGTTACTTAATCTGCCGATTTGGGCTCTTTGTTCTCAAATGTCTTGTATGTTTTTCTCTTTAATCTTGTTATGTTCTGTTATAATTAGCTGTTCTAATGTCTCTCCATTTCCTGTTCTTTAAATTTTCTAAATTTAATTTTTTTTAAAGAAATAATTTAATTGGGGCTTGCTTACAGGTTCAAAGGTTTATTTCATTATCCTAGTAAAGGGGAGCATGGAGCCACACAAGCAGACATGGTGCTGGAGAAGGCGCTAAGAGTTCTAGATCTCAATCCAAAGGCAGCAGGCAGAGCGGGAAAGAGACAGAGACAGACAGGGAGAGAGAGAGATGGAGAGACAGAGACAGACAGACAGACAGACCGACGGACTGACCAGGCCTGGCTTGGGTACCTGAAACCTCAAAGCTTACCGCCAGTAACACACTTCCTCCAACAAGGCCACACCTACCACAGCAAGGCCGCACCCCCTAATCTTCCTCAAGCAGTGCCACTCCCTGATGACTAAGCTTTCAATATATGAGCCTCTAGGTGTCATTCCCACTCAAACCACCACAGAGGGTAAGGGGCAAAGATTGTCTCTTTTGATCCCTCTTGACTACATAAGTACAGGTCTCCAAATATGGTTATGAGACACTTAGAAGTTCAATTTTACCAGCCTGTTTCTTTTAGCTCTATATAATATTTAGACAGAGCTTGGCAAAGCCAAACACTTATAAATAACTTTTGATTAAATGTACATTTTTGGTTTTTTTCTCTCATATATTACATCCAGATGGCAGTTTCCCCTCTCCCCTCTCTTCTCCCCCAGGACTATCCCCCCTTCTCCCCCAAGAAAAGGGCAGGGCCTCCAGGGACATCAAACAAACACAACATAACAAGCTACAATAAGTCCAGGAATATACCATTGCGTCAAAACTGAACAAAGCAACCCGGTATGAGGAAAAAAGTCCAACAAGCAGGCAAAAGAGTCACAGACAGCTCCTGTTCCCACTGTTAGGAGTCCAACAAGAACACCAAGCTACTCAACCATAACATATATGCAGAGGACCTATATTAGACCTCTGCAGGCTCCTTGATTTCTGCAAGCTCCCTTGTCAAGAATCCTAGGCAGTTGATTCTGTGGGCCATGGCGTCTCTGACCCCTCTAGTCCCTCCAATCTTTCCTCCCTCTCCTCTGCAGGACTCCCCAAGTTCTGTCTAATATTTGGCTATGGGACTCTGCATCTGCACCCATCATTTGCTGGGTGAAATCTCTCTGGTCCCTTTGATGATAATTCTTCTAGGCTCTGGTCCCAGAATACTCTGCAGGCAGGACAAACTGTAGGTCAAAGGTTTTGTGTCTTAATTGGTATACCAATCCTTCCACTTGAGGCCATGCCTGGTTACAGAAGATGGCTGGTTCAGGCTCTGTACTCCATTACTAAGAGTCTTTGCTAGGGTTACTCTTGTAGATTCCATGAAGTTTCCATTGTACTAGGTTTCCACATCACTACCAAAATGCCCCCTAATTCCAGTTGTTTCTCCCAGTATTTTCTCCTTCCCTCACCCCTAAACTGGATCTCTCCTGTTCCCAACCCCACCCAACCCCAGTCCACCTGCAAGTCAATTTCTCCTTCCCAGGGAGATCCTTGTGTCCCCTACTTAGGCCTTTCTTGTTACTTAGCCTTTCTGGGTCAGTGGACTGTAGCATGATTATCTTTTACAGCTAATACCTACTTAAAAATAAGTATATACCATGTTTGTCTTTCTAGGTCTGGGTTATCTCAGTCAGGATTTTTTTTTCTAGTTCCATCCATTTGCCTTCAAATTTCATGATGTCATTGTTCTTAACAGCTGAATAATACTACTCTGTGTAAATAATGTAAAAAAAAATGGGGTACATATCTAAACAGAATTCTCAACATTCAACAAGAATCTCAAATAGTCAAGAAACACTTAAAGAAATGTTCAGCATCCTTAGCCATCAGGGAAATGCAAATCAAAACAACTTTGAGATTCTACTTCACACCTGCTAGTATGGCTAAGATAAAAAAAAAAAAAGTGATAGCTCATACTGGGAAAGATGTGGACCAAGGGGAACACTCTTGTACTGCTAGTGGGAGTGAAAACTTATACATCCATTTTGAAAATCAATATGGAGGTTTCTCAGAAAATTGGTAATCAATATACCTCAAGACCCAGCTATACTACTCCTGGGCATATATCCAAGTTATATTCTCTCCTATCACAGAGACATTTGCTCAACTATGTTCATAGCAGCTTTATTTATAATAGCTAAATTTAATTTTTATAATACCTTTTTATTCTTTGGCATTTCATACATTACATTGTAAATTTCAGATATTTTTTATTCCCATTAACTTCTTGAGTCTCTCTTACTTTTAAATTCAATTGATTCAGAAACTAGCAGACTATCAATATTGAAAGTGACTTTAAATTAGTGGTTTTAACTGATACATAAAACTCATACACACTATTGTATGCAGACTTTTCTTTCCTACCTGCCAGTCCCAAATAACAGACAGAAAGTCTTAATATTAATTATAAATGTTTGGCCAGTAGCTCAGGCCTGTTAGTAGCTAATTCTTACTTTTTAAATTAACCCATTTCCATTCCTTTACTTGCTGCCACGTGGTTCATGGCTTGTTACCTTACTTTGTACACATCCTGTTTCCTCTGCATCTGGCTGGCAACTCTTCCAACTCCACCCTTCTGTGTTTTGTAGTTCTTCTAGTGGCTTGTTCCTTTGTCTCTTTGATCTTTCAGCATTTACTCCAATATCTGGCTCCAGGTATTTATTATAAGACCACTTAGGCTTCATGCTACAGAGAAGACTCACCATTAGAACAGCCTTCAGGAAACAAGAAATGACTAGGAGAAGTAGTTCACTAAGAACACAGAATCTGCAGAAAGACTAGCAGCACAATTCATAGAAAACTAACGAGAGGAGTGTTTACAGAAGAGGGAAGTAGCTTGACTTGATGATATATGCCTACAATACCTGGCTCAGGGGAGGTAAGAAGATTGTGAGTTCAAGGCCAGCCTGAGTTATGTAAATCTTGTCTCATAAAACAAGACAAAACAAAGCAAAAACTAGGCAAGTACTCCAGAAGAGGCTCAGAGAAGGGGCCTTGTGAAATAGTTCCTCTTTGTTGTGACTCAACTCCAAGAAATAGCATTCACTGGAGAGGAATCTAAGCCTCTTGGAATCAGGCTAGAGGTATTTAGGAAGACATTAAGCCCCTCAACCATAATCCACACTTGAGTAATTGATGGATTTTTTGAGGATGCAGCTTTTTGAAAATCACCAAGTCTTGAGAATTAGACATTATTCTCAGAAAAATGCATGTGAGCTTACACTTTTACAAAGTCTCCTCATAGATTACTATGTCCCCCACTGCGACTCCATCCTCAAGTCTTTACATTAGCATATGATTTCACTGTCAGATACTGAGGCTAGTGTGGGTCATGAGGACAGTGACACACTTAACAGGTAAGAGCTGTCTCTCTGCTCAGGTCTTAGCAAGCCTAAACCCACAAAGACATTAGAAGAAATCCTTGGTTTTCTTTTCCCCTTCTAAGGAGCAATAAGAAGTATTTCCTGCCGGGCAGTGATGGCACACACCTTTAATCCCAGCACTCGGGAGGCAGAGGCAGGCGGATCTCTGTGAGTTCGAGGCCAGCCTGGGCTACCAAGTGAGTTCCAGGAAAGGGCAAAAAAAAAAAAAAAAAACCCCTTTTTTAAAAAAAAAAAAAAAAAAAAAAAAAAAAAAAAAACAGAAAAAAAAAAGAAAAGAGCAGTGATGTATTACAGGAAGTTCAAAGCACTGGTTGATAAGTTAGAAGTTAACATGTTTGTCTGAGATACATTGTAAATTTATTTTGTACCCATTTTTATGACTTTATTTATTTATTTTTTTTGGTTAAGCTTTGAAATGATTTTACAGTGACTGTAGAGAGAGTGGAAATGGATGTGTTGGGAGGCTGACGTTGGTCTGCTCCCAATCCTGCAAAACCAAAAATAAACAAACAAGCCTGTAGCAAACTTTCTTTTCAGACTATCTTTGGACCACCAGCCTGCAAATGATGACCTGGAGACTTATTATTAATTATGAAAGTTTGGCCTTAGCTTAGGCCTTTTCCCAACTAGCTCTTATAACTTAATTAGCCCATTTATATTCATCTACATTCTGCCACTTGGCTCAGTTACCTCTTCTTAGTATTGCACATCCAACTTGCTCTGAGTCTGCTGGCAACATCCTGTGCCCAGATTCCTCCTTCCAGTTTCTCTCTCTCTCTCTGCCTACAAGTCCTGCCTATACCTCCTGGCTAGCTATTGGCCATTCAGCTTTTTATTACACTAATCACAGCCATACATCTTCACAAAGTATACAAATATCTCACAACACATGAGTGTGTTTCGATGCAAAATCAAGTTTAGTTTCCTTAACCCATATCTAAAAAGTGAAATCATAAGCAATATAAATGAGCTCTGGATGACTAAAACTATTGGTATTGCCAGAGCTCCGGAGTCAGAGCCTACAGACTGCATTTAATCTTGGAATATGTTTCCACTGTCTGACACAATTTAAAATTTTTAAAATTAACTGATAATACTTAAGGAAGTGAATTTTTACACAGAATCCTGAGGTTGCAATTCTATTCTCAAGGGCCGAGAAGACGGTTTGGTGGGTAACGCACTTGCAATGCATGCATGAGAACCTGAATTTAGGTCCCATACCCATGTGATGTGGGACAGGTAGTGCACACCTGTCATCCCTTCACTCATCTCTCCTACAGCAAGATGGGAACAGAGACAAGAGAATCCCCAGATAGCCTGGCATTCACACCAGCACACAAGGGACCATCCTCCAAAGAAGGGGAAGGTGAGGACCAACACCCAAGGTTGTCCTCTGACCTCCACATGTACAATACCCCCAACCACACCCCAACCCCAACAGGAAACAGACAGCACCAGGCTTACATTCCGGTATAGAAGCACTCAGTGAAGGAGTAGATGCCCTGTTACAATGACTTTCTACTTTGCTTTGGTTATTTGTGTTGTTCTTATAGATTGACTCCCTAAAAAATATTAAATGAATTAGCCATTTCAATGGGAACAAGACAATGGTGCTTCATCAACTCACCACATTGTACAACCAAACACTTTACCTATTTCCAAACTTTCCAGCACCTAAATAGAGCTCCACACTAAGTCACTTCTCATTCGTCCCCAGCTCCAGCCCCACAACCACCAATCCGCTCTCTGCCTGCAGTTCGGGATATGTCATTTCAATGGCATCAGGCAGGAGGTAACTTGTGGCCTCAAGCTTTCTCACATAGCATCCTGTCTTCAAGGGTGATCCCTGTTGTAATGTCAGAATTTCAGTCTTTTTATAACTGAATAGTATTTCATTATGTAACTGATGGTCGTAGTCACTCAAAAACCGATGGCACGGTGAACAAGTATCCGTTTTTGATTGTTTAGAGAGCTCTTTCAGCTACAGTCCTTAGCATTGCCTGTTGCTTCCCATGTCCCATGCTCAGCCCACTGGATTCTCCTGCCCCGCCGGCTTTTCTGCTTTGTTACAGGCTTCAGCATATTCATCTCCACTCATTTCCTGCACTTTCTTCCAGACAGACTTGAAGTAATTAGTAAAAACCTGCATATAAGTAACAATGTACTTCAGTG